GCGTCGCACGCGAGCTTGCTTGCACGCCCGCGTACACGCCGGGCACACGCGAGCTTCTCGATGCGCCGGTGAGAAAGGGCACGAGGTGAGAGGGAGGAGAAGGAAGGAGAAAGCAGGGAGCGGAGTAGTAGACGGTGACGACGGTGTGTTGCATCGGAGGGCGTAGAGGAGAAGAAGAAGGAAGGGGGTTGAATGGTAGTGGCGTATCTACCTGGTGCACCGAGGGATAGACGAGGGGTTATTCCACCTACACAAGAGAAACGGTGCTGCTTCCACGGTGGCAATGGATAGCGGTTGAAGGGTGAGGTAGAGAGAGAGAGAGAAGGGGGGATGGTGGTGGAGACTTTAGATGGGGTAGAGCGTAGATTGTAAGGATGGTGATAGTGTAGAAGAAGGCGGTGATGGTGGTGGTGGTAAGAGGGCAATGGTGACAAGGGCGATGGTGGTGGTGCGCCGGTGGTAGAAGTAGTGGTAGTAGCAGTAGAAGCGGTTGGGGCGGCGGCGGCGGTGGTGGAGGTGGTGATGGAGGTAGTGGTGGTGGTGGTGGTGGTGGTGGTGGAGGAGGAGAGGGTGCGGCATCGTCGATGGTGGTTGTGTTGCCGGTGGTGGAGGAGGCATGGGTTGGTTCCAGTGTTCGCGCGGCCGCTCCCTGTCGCACACGGACGAGTCACCCCCGACGCTGACGGCGTCGCGACGCTCTCGCAATCGCCGCCAAAAACGTGCTCGCGGATAGAATACGCGCAAGAAGCGCCGTTTCCCTTTTCCAAAGAAGAGCCCTCGCCTCGTCTTCTGCCGAGTTTCGAAATCCGAATTTCACTTTTCGTCGCTCAAAGTCACGCTCGATTCTCGCGGATCGAGAGGGGTGCGCGAACGCGCGTGGAAATTGCGGACGTGCTCGACTTTGATCACGTGGACTACACTTTGTTCGTTGTTGTAAAAGTGTTGTTCGTTCGAGAACGAATCCCACCTGTGGACAATAGACAAGGGCGGTGTTGGATAAACGAGTTACTTACTTGTCGTTTCGCCTTGGTTGATATTCCTGTAGGGAATAGCACGAGTTAACGCGAGTTTCGTTGGTGGAGTTTTTTTTTTTTTGGTGCGACGTTGTTTGTTCTCGCGTCTGTTTCTACCTCGATGCGTATCATCTACGACCGACTACGTTCGATCGAAGCGCATATCACTCGTTAGGACCAACGTTGGTTGGTCCAAACCAACAAGTGTCTTAAATCAACAAGTCGAAAGTAGCGCAAGGTCGGAAGTAGCGGTGGACGGTTGGGAAGAAAGTTCTCGTTCCCAAGTGTTAATCGCGTGGTTAATTGATCGTGATTGGATAAACGAGCGATAAACGTCACCGATAAGAGAGACCGTTTTGCGACCGTTCCGTCGAGACCTATCCTAGGCTGTGATACCAGTACCAACGTCGAGGATGGATTAAACGAAGCGTTGCGCGAAATCGTAGGAAGCGTTGGGATCGGGACGATCGACGTTGAGAAGCACGCAGAGAGAAGGGGCGTGCTGACACGTGCCGATCCGTTGCTAAAACGCGTGCGCTGTTTTCGTTAATAATTGATGCTCGAAGGGAGTTGACGACGTGTCTACGAGCCCTGGGGAAAGTAACCGGAATTTATTTCGTGCCTGTATACGAGCGAATTAAAGGGAAGTTCGATCCGTTTAATGAATAAAAGATCCAGAGATTTTTCTTTTCTTTGACACGTGCTCGTCCAAGAGAAAGCTCTCTCTCTCTAGGCGTTAAACGTTTTTTTCTTCAAAAATAAAAAAAAAAGAGGTTTCGAAAGAAAGAAAGAAAGAAGGAAGGAAGGAAGGAAAGCTTACAAGCCATAATTCCACGAAGAAAAGAGGATACGTTTCTGAAATATCGACAAAGTGGATGACATTCCTTCTTCGAACTTTTTTCCAAAGTTGCAAGCACGGAAAAGCACGAGAATAAACGCGCACGAGACAATCCATCGGATCGTGGCCCCGTTCCGCTTTCACGGAACGATAAATTGGTGGCCGACATCGATATCGCTGATATCGATTTCTACGCAAGTTTTTTTATACCATCGGTCGGAGCGATCCACGAGCGGCTGTAAATTGCGTGGCCCGGCCTCTTTCCACGAGGGTGAACGCTTCGCGATAAATCTCCGCATGCAGAGCGCGTGAAATTCGCGTCACGCCGGGGACCATCATCGTACCGCCGCTATCGCGTTAATTATTCTCGCGGAAGGATGCGCGATAATCGTGGTACACGGAAGCTGGTCCACTGCACTCCTCAACGAGCTTCCGGATCTCATTATTAATTATCCTCGTTAAAGGATAATCGAAATCCTCGACCGATTTTCCAAATATCCATTCGAGATAATTCTCGATCTCGTCGACGAAAGAAGCGTTGATTCGGTCGAAGAAAAGGTCGATATCTCGACGAGGAGCGAGGAAGAAGCGGAGCGGATCCGATCGTACAGATGTCGTCGATCTCCTGCCGACCGTTTTAAACTCGTCCCTCGTCATCGAAGTGTATCCATCGCCGTGTGCCCGCTCTCTCGTCCTCTCGGTCGTCGTCGCGGTCATCGAATTCCAATTATGTCGCAGCACCGGAGAGGTTCCGTGCACGGTAGTAGCCCTGTTCCTGGCGGCCATCCGGTGCCCACGAACGCCGCCTCTGTCTCCTCCTCTCACGAGATACAAACGAGGGGGATACCTTTGCCCGGAATGGTACCGTCGCGCTCCATCCACGGCAATCCCATGCACGGGAATCCGATTCACGGGTTCGTCAACCCTCTCGGGCCCGCCGGCCTCGTTCATTCCCCGCCTACGCATCAGCCGCTCCTGTCCGGAATTTCTCATCACTCGTCGGTCGTCCATCAAGGTAGCGCGCGACACGCCTCTGCTTTTGTGCGGAACAAGCGAAAATCGTGCGGGAAGATCGCGCCGTCCAAGACCTCGCCGAGTCATTTCGTCGTGTAGTGGACGATTTCGAGAGATCGAATCGATCGTGGCCGAGCTCGATGATGCGCGAGTGACGAGGTTTTTCCCATTTTTCCAACCGAGACTTCGATGATACGCTTACAATGATATTCGTTCGAACAGATGACCTCCGCGTGGTCGGGGAAACCAACGGATATCGCGTGGAAGATGGAAGATCGTACTAGGATGGAATCTAATTATCGAGAGTGGTGATGGAACGACGTCGTACGAGGAATGGATAAAATCCTGCCGCGAGAGAAGTGGGACGTGCGTTCGAGCACGAAAACCAGGAGAGAGAGAGAGAGAGAGAGAGAGAGGAGGAGAGAGGAGGAGGAAGACGTACGTT